GAAAAGAGATTGAAATATAGAGCATGATCAAGAGAGAGAAAGAGATTGAAATATAGAGCATGATCAAAAGAGAGAAAAGAGATTGAAATATAGAGCATGATCAAGAGAGAGAAAAGAGATTGAAATATAGAGCATGATCAAGAGAGAGAAAAAGAGATTGAAATATACAGCATGATCAAGAGAGAGAAAAGAGATTGAAATATAGAGCATGATCAAAGAGAGAAAAGAGATTGAAATATAGAGCATGATCAAAAGAGAGAAAAAGAGATTGAAAATATAGAGCATGATCAAGAGAGAGAAAAGAGATTGAAATATAGAGCATGATCAAGAGAGAGAAAAGAGATTGAAATATAGAGCATGATCAAGAGAGAAAAGAGATTGAAACATAGAGCATGATCAAGAGAGAGAAAAGAGATTGAAATATAGAGCATGATCAAGAGAGAAAAGAGATTGAAATATAGAGCATGATCAAAAGAGAGAAAAAAGAGATTGAAATATAGAGCATGATCAAAAAGAGAGAAAAGAGATTGAAATATAGAGCATGATCAAAAGAGAGAAAAGAGATTGAAATATACAGCATGATCAAAAGAGAAAAAGATTGAAATATAGAAATCAAAAGAGAAAAAGAGAGATTGAAACAGGAGCCTGATCAAAAGAGAGAAAAAGAGATTAAAATATAGAGCATGATCAAAAAGAGAGAAAAAGATTGATTATAAGCATGAGATCAAGAGAGAGATGAGATTGGAAAGATGATCAAATGAGAAAAGAGATTGAAATAGGAGAGTATGATCAAGAGAGAGAAAAGAGAATGAAATATAGAGCATGATCAAAAGAGAGAAAAGAGATTGAATTATAGAGCATGATCAAGAGAGAGAAAAAAGAAGAGATTGAAATATAGAGCATGATCAAAGAGAGAAAAAGAGATTGAAATATAGGAGCATGATCAAAAAGAGAAAAGAGATTGATTGAAATATAGAGCATGATCAATGATCAAGAGAGAGAAAAAGAGATTGAAAATATAGAGCATGATCAAGAGAGAGAAAAGATTGAACATACAGCATGATGAGAGAGAAAGAGATTGAAATATAGAGCATGATGAGAGAGAAAAATATATTGAAATATAGAGAGATCAAAGAGAGAAAAGAAAATAAATATAGAGCATGATCAAAGAGAGAGAAAAGAGATTGGAAATAGAGAGCATGATCAAGAGAGAGAAAAAGAGATTGAAATATAGAGCATGATCAAAAGAGAGAAAGAGATTGAAATATACAGCATGATCAAAAGAGAAAAGAGATTGAAATAGAGCATGATCAAGAGAGAAAAGAGATTGAAATATAGAGCATGATCAAAAAGAGAAAAAGAGATTGAAATGTAGAGCATGATCAAGAGAGAGAAAAAGAGATTGAAATATAGAGCATGATCAAAAAGAGAGAAAAGAGATTGAAATATAGAGCATGATCAAAAGAGAGAGAAAAGAGATTGAAATATAGAGCAGAGATCAAGAGAGAAAAAAGAGATTGAAATATAGAGCATGATCAAGAGAGAGGAAAAGAGATTGAAATATAGAGCATGAGAGAGAAAGAGAAAAAATTGAAAATATAGAGAGCAAATGATCAAGAGAGAAGAAAAGAGATTGAAATATAGAGCATGATCAAAAGAGAGAAAAAGATTGAAATATAGAGCATGATCAAGAGAGAGAAAAGAGATTGAAATATAGAGCATGATCAAAAGAGAGAAAAAAGAGATTGAAATATAGAGCATGATCAAAAAGAGAAAAAGAGATTGAAATATAGAGCATGATCAAAAGAGAGAAAAAGAGATTGAAATATCCAGCATGATCAAAAGAGAGAAAAAGAGATTGAAATATAGAGCATGATCAAGAGAGAGAAAAAGAGATTGAAATATAGAGCATGATCAAAAAGAGAAAAAAGAGATTGGAAATATAGAGCATGATCAAAAGAGAGAAAAGAGATTGAAATATAGAGCATGATCAAAAGAGAAAGAGAGAAAAATATAGAGCATGATGAGAGAAAAGAGATTGAAATATAAAAGATCAAAAAAAGAGAGAAAAAAGATTGAAATATAAAGCATGATCAAGAGAGAGAAAAAGAGATTGAAATATAGAGCATGATCAAAAGAGAGATTGAAATGTTCAGGATTGAAATATAGAGCATGATCAAGAGAGAGAAAGAGATTGAAATATAGAGCATGATCAAAAGAGAGAAAAAAGATTGAAAATATAGAGTATGATCAAAAGAGAGAAAAAGAGATTGAAATATAGAGCATGATCAAAAGAGAGAAAAGAGATTGAAATAGAGAGCATGATCAAGAGAGAGAAAAAGTGATTGAAATATAGAGAGAAAAAAGAGAGAGAAAAAGAGATTGAAATATAGAGCATGATCAAAAAGAGAAAAGAGATTGAAATAGAAGAGAGAAAAAGAGAGAGAGAGAAAAAGAGACTAGAGCAGAGCATGATCAAAAAGAGAGAAAAAAGAGACTGAAATATAGAACATGATCAAGAGAGAGAAAAGATTGGAAATATAGAGTATGATCAAGAGAGAGAAAAGAGATTGAAATATAGAGCAATCAAGAAAGAGAGAGAAAAGAGATTGAAATATGATCAAAAGAGAGAGAAAAGAGATTGAAATATAGAGCATGATCAAGAGAGAGAAAAAAGAGATTGAAATATAGAGCATGATCAAGAGAGAGAAAAAAGATTGAAATATAGAGCATGATCAAGAGAGAGAAAAAAGAGATTGAAATATAGAGCATGATCAAAAGAGAGAAAAGAGATTGAAATATATCCAGCATGATCAAAAAGAGAGAGAGAAAAGAGATTGAAAAAATAGAGCATGATCAAAAGAAAAGAGAAAAAAAGTGATTGAAATATAGAGCAGGATCAAAAGAGAAAAAAGAGATTGAAATATAGAGCATGATCAAGAGAGAGAAAAGAGATTGAAAATAGAGATGATCAAAGAGAGAAAAAAAAGATTGAAATATAGAGCATGATCAAGAGAGAAAAAGAGATTGAAATATAGAGTATGATCAAAAGAGAAAAGAGATTGAAAACAGAGCATGATCAAAAGAGAGAAAAGAGATTGAAATATAGAGCATGAGATCAAAAGAGAGAGAAAAGAGATTGAAATATCCAGCAGATCAAGAGAGAGAAAAAGAGATTGAAATATAGAGTATGATCAAGAGAGAGAAAAAGATTGAAAATATAGAGCAGATCACAAGAGAGAGAGAAAAGAGATTGAAATATAGAGAGGCGATCAAGAGAGAGAAAGAGATTGAAATGTAGAGCATGATCAAAGAGAGAAAAGAGATTGAAATGTAGAGCATGATCAAAGAGAGAAAAAGAGATTGAAATATAGAGCATGATCAAGAGAGAAAAGAGAGAAAAGAGATTGAAAGAAAAAGAGCATGATCAAAAGAGAGAAAAAGAGATTGAAATATAGAGCATGATCAAGAGAGAGAAAAAGAGATTGAAATATAGAGCATGATCAAAAGAGAGAAAAAGAGAAATATAGAAATGATCAAGAGAGAGAAAAGAGAGAGAGAAAAGAGAGAAAAGAGATTGAAATATGCTGGACAAGAGAGAGAGAAAAGAGATTGAAATAGAGAGCATGATCAAGAGAGAGAAAAAGATTGAAATATAGAGGATCAAGAGAGAGAAAAGAAATTGAAATAAGAGAGAGAACATCCAGCATGAAAAGAGAGAAAAAGAGATTGGAAAATACAGAGCATGATCAAGAGAGAGAAAAAGAGATTGAAATATAGAGCATGATCAAGAGAGAGAAAAAGAGATTGAAATATAGAGAGATCAAGAGAAAAGAGAGAAAAAGAGAAAAGAAAAGAGATTGAAACATAGAGCATGATCAAGAGAGAGAAAAGAGGATTAAACATAGAGCATGATCAAAAGAGAGAAAAGAGATTGAAATATAGAGCATGATCAAGAGAGAGAAAAGACATTGAAATATAGAGCATGATCAAGAGAGAGAAAAAGAGATTGTAATATACAGCATGATCAAAAGAGAGAAAAAGAGATTGAAATATAGAGCATGATCAAAAGAGAAAAAAGAGATTGAAATAGACATGATCAAAAGAGAGAAAAAGAGATTGAAAATATAGAGCATGATCAAGAGAGAGAGAAAAGAGATTGAAATATAGAAGCATGATCAAGAGAGAGAAAGAGATTGAAAATATAGAGCATGACTCAAGAGAGAGAAAAAAGAGATTGAAATATAGATGCATGATCAAGAGAGAAAAGAGATTGAAATATAGAGCATGATCAAAAGAGAGAAAAAGAGATTGAAATATAGAGCATGATCAAGAGAGAGAAAAGAGATTGAAATATAGAGCATGATCAAAAGAGAGAAAAAGAGATTGAAATGTAGAGCGATCAAGAGAGAGAAAAGAGATTGAAAATATACAGCATGATCAAGAGAGAAAAAGAGATTGAAATATAGAGCATGATCAAGAGAGAGAAAAAGAGATTGAAATATAGAGCATGACCAAAAGAGAGAAAAAAGATTGAAATATAGAGCATGATCAAAAGAGAGAAAAGAGATTGAAATATAGAGCATGATCAAAAGAGAGAAAAGAGATTGAAATATAGAGCATGAGAGAGAGAAAAAGAGAAAAAGAGATTGAAAATAGAAAAGAGTGAAATATAGATCAAGAGAGAAAAAGAGATTGAAATATAGAGCATGATCAAGAGAGAGAAAAAGAGATTGAAATATAGAGCATGATCAAAGAGAGAAAAGAGATTGAAATATAGAGGCGATCAAGAGAGAAAAGAGATTGAAATATAGAGGGATGATCAAGAGAGAGAAAAGAGATTGAAATATCCAGCAAGATCAAGAGAGAAAAGAGATTGAAATATAGAGCATGATCAAAAGAGAGAAAAGAGATTGAAATATAGAGCATGATCAAGAGAGAAAAGAGATTGAAATATAGAGCATGACCAAGAGAGAAAAGAGAGAAAATATAGAGCATGATCAAAAAGAGAGAAAAAGATTGAAATATAGAGTATGAAGAAAGAGAGAAAAAGAGATTGAAATATAGAGCATGATCAAAAGAGAGAAAAAGAGATTGAAATATAGAGCATGATCAAGAGAGAGAAAAGAGATTGAAATATAGAGCATGATCAAAAGAGAGAAAAAGAGATTGAAATATACAGCATGATCAAGAGAAAAAAGAGATTGAAAAGAGATTGAAAGAGAGAAAAGAGATTGAAATAGAGCATGATCAAAAGAGAAAAGAGATTGAAATATAGAGATGAACAAAAGAGAGAAAAGAGATTGAAATATAAGATGATCAAAAGAGAGAAAAGAGATTGAAATATACAGCATGATCAAGAGAGAGAAAAAGAGAATGAAATATAGAGCATGATCAAAAGAGAGAAAAGAGATTGAAATAGAAATAAAGAGAGAAAAAGAGATTGAAATATAGAGCATGATCAAAAAGAGAAAAGAGATTGAAATATAGAGCATGATCAAAAGAGAGAAAAAGAGATTGAAATATAGAGCATGATCAAAAGAGAGAAAAGAGATTGAAATACAGATGATCAAGAGAGAGAGAAAAAAGAGATTGAAATGTAGAGCATGATCAAGAGAGAGAAAAAAAGAAAATATAGATTGAAAGAGAGAAAAGAGATTGAAATATAGAGCATGATCAAGAGAGAGAAAAGAGATTGAAATATAGAGCATGATCAAAAGAGAAAAAAGAGATTGAAATATACAGCATGATCAAAAGAGAGAAAAGAGATTGAAATATAGAGCATATCAAGAGAGAGAAAAGAGATTGAAATATAGAGGCGATCAAGAGAGAGAAAAAAAGAGATTGAAATATAGAGCATGATCAAAAGAGAGAAAAAGAGATTGAAATATAGAGCATGATCAAGAGAGAGAAAAGAGATTGAAATATAGAGTATGATCAAGAGAGAGAGAAAAAGATTGAAATATAGAGCATGATCAAAAGAGAGAAAAAAAGATTGAAATATAGAATGTAAGATCAAAAGAGAGAAAAGAGATTGAATATTTCAGCATGATCAAAAGAGAGAAAAAGAAAGAAATCTATAGAGCATGATCAAAGAGAGAGAAAGAGATTGAAAAATAGAGACGTCAAAAGAGAGAAAAAGATTGGAAATATAGAGCATGATCAAAAGAGAGAAAAGAGATTGAAATATAGACATGATCATAAAAGAGAAAAGAGATTGAAATATAGAGCAGGATCAAGAGAGAGAAAAAGAGATTGAAATATAGAGCATGATCAAAAGAGAGAAAAAAGAGATAATGAAATATAGAGCATGATCAAGAGAGAGAAAAAAGATTGAAAATACAAGGCATGATCAAGAGAGAGAAAAGAGATTGAAATATAGAGTATGACAAAGAGAGAGAAAAAAAGAGATTGAAATATAGAGCATTCATCAAGAGAGAAAAAAGAGATTGAAATTTCCAGGCGAATATTAAAAAGAGAAAAAGAGATTGAAATACAGAGCCATGATCAAAAGAGAGAAAAATAGATTGAAATTGACAGTTTTCATGATTTAAGAGAGAGAAAAGAGAGTGAAAATTGAGAGGTTATCTTGATCAAGAGAGAAAAAAGAGATTGAAATAAAGAGCACTTTGATCACAAAGAGAGAGAAAAGAGATTAGAAATATAGAGCAAGGATTAAGAGAGAGAAAAGAGATTGAAATATAGAGCATGATCAAGAGAAAAAGAGATTGAAACATAGAGCATGAATTGAGAGAAATGACGTCTAGTGATTGAAAGTCGGAGTATGATCAAGAGAGAGAAAGAGATTTCATGAAATATAGGAGAACTGGATCCTGCAAATGAGAGAAAAGAGATTGAAATATACAGTTTGAATGTGAGAGAGAAAAGAGATTGTTATAGGTCTGATCAAGAGAGAGAAAAACCTAGATTGTAAGCGATAGAGAATGGATCAAAGGAGAGAAAAAGAGATTGAAACCTATAGAGGCAGATCAAGAGAGAGAGAAAAGATAAAAATAGAGCATGATCAAAAGAGAGAAAAGAGATTGAAATATAGAGCAAATCAAGAGAGAAAAAGAGATTGAAATAGAGCATGATTGGAAAAGAGAGAAAAAGAGATTGAAATATAGAGCATGATCAAGAGAGAAAAAGTGATTGAAAAATTAAAGAGCATGATCAAAAAGAGAGAAAAAGCCGATTGAAATATAGAGCATGATCAAAAGAGAGAAAAGAGATTGAAATATAGAGCATGATCAAAAGAGAGAAAAAGAGATTGAAATAGAGAGCGATGATCAAAAGAGAAAAAGAGATTGAAAGAGTAGAGCCTGACTAAAAGAGAAAAAGAGACAAAATATAGAGCATGATCAAAAAGAGAAAAAGGAGATTGAAATATAGAGCATGATCAAGAGAGAGAAAAGAGATTGAAATATAGAGTATGATCAAAAGAGAGAAAAAGAGATTGAAATATAGAGCATGATCAAGAGAGAAAAGAGATTGAAATATAGAGTATGATCAAGAGAGAAAAAAGAGATTGAAATATAGAGCATGATAAAGAGAGAAAAAGAGAGTAAATATAGAGCATGACTAAAAAGAGAGAAAAGAGATTGAAATATAGAGCATGATCAAAAGAGAGAAAAGAGATTGAAATATAGAGCATGATCAAAAGAGAGAAAAGAGATTGAAATATAGAGCATGATCAAGAGAGAGAAAAAGAGATTGAAATATAGAGTATGATCAAAAAGAGAGAAAAGAGATTGTAATATACATGATCAAAGAGAGAAAAAAAGAGAGAGAAAAAGAGATTGAAATATAGAGCATGATCAAAAGAGAGAAAAGAGATTGAAACATACAGCATGATCAAGAGAGAAAAGAGATTTAAATATAGAGCATGATCAAAGAGAGAAAAAAGAGATTGAAATATAGAGCATGATCAAAAGAGAGAGAAAAGAGATTGAAATATAGAGTATGAGAAGAGAGAGAAAAGAGATTGAAATATAGAGCATGATCAAGAAAGAGAAAAAGAGATTGAAATATAGAGCATGATCAAGAGAGAGAAAAGAGATTGAAATATAGAGCATGATCAAGAGAGAAAAGATCAGATAGAGCAAAAAGATCAAGAGAGAGAAAAAAGAGATTGAAAATATAGAGCATGATCAAGAGAGAGAAAAAGAGATTGAAATATAGAGCATGATCAAAAGAGAGAAAAAAGAGATTCAAGAAGCAAAAGATTGAAATGATCAAGAGAGAGAAAAGAGATTGAAATATAGAGCATGATCAAGAGAGAGAAAAGAGATTGAAATATAGAGAATGACTCAAGAGAGAGAAAAGAGATTGAAATATAGAGCATGATCAAAAGAGAGAAAAAAGAGAGAGATTGGAAATATAGAGCATGATCAAGAGAGAGAAAAGAGATTGAAATATAGAGTATGATCAAAAAGAGAAAAAGAGATTGAAATATAGAGCATGATCAAAAGAGAGAAAAGAGATTGAAATATAGAGCATGATCAAGAGAGAAAAGAGATTGAAATATAGAGCATGATCAAGAGAGAGAAAAGAGATTGAAATAGAGCATGATCAAGAGAGAGAAAAGAGATTGGAAATATAGAGTATGATCAAGAGAGAGAGAAAAGAGATTGAAATATAGAGCATGATCAAAAGAGAGAAAAGAGATTGAAATAGAGAGCATGATCAAGAGAGAGAAAAAGAGATTGAAATATAGAGTATGATCAAGAGAGAGAAAAGAGATTGAAATATAGAGCATGATCAAAAGAGAGAAAAGAGATTGAAATATAGAGCATGATGAAGAGAGAAAAGAGATTGAAATATAGAGAGCATCAAGAGAGAGAAAAGATTGAAAAGAGCATTATCAAAAGAGAAAAGAGATTGAAATAGAGAGCATGACTGGAAGAGAGAAAAAGAGATTGGAAATATAGAGCATGATCAAAAGAGAGAAAAAGAGATTGAAATATAGAGCATGATCAAAAGAGAAAAGAGATTGAAAAGAGATGATCAAGAGAGAGAAAAGAGATTGAAACATAGAGCAAAGGATCAAGAGAGAGAAAAGAGATTGAAATATAGAGCATGATCAAGAGAGAAAAGAGATTGAAACATAGAGCATGGATCAAGAGAGAGAAAAAGATTGAAAGCAGAGCATGATCAAAAGAGAGAAAAGAGATTGAAAAGAGTATGACTGAAGAGAGAGAAAAAGAGATTGAAATAGAGGCATGATCAAGAGAGAGAAAGAGATTGGAAATATAGAGCATGATCAAGAGAGAAAAGAGGATTGAAATAGAGCATGATCAAAAGAGAAAAAGAGATTGAAAATAGAGCATGAACAAGAGAGACAAAGAGATTGAAATATAGAGAGAAAAAGAGAAAAAGAGATTGAAATATAGAGCATGATCAAAAGAGAGAAAAAGATATTGAAATTAGAAATATAAAAGAGAGAAAAAAGATTGAAATATAGAGAGAGAGAGAAAAAGAGATTGAAATATAGAGCAAGAGAGTAAGAGAGAAAAGAGATTGAAACAGGCAGATCAAGAGAGAAAAGAGATTGAAATATAGAGCATGATCAAAAGAGAGAAAAGAGATTGAAATATAGAGCATGACAAAAAGAGAGAAAAAGACATTGAAATATAGAGCATGGATCAAGAGAGAGAAAAGAGATTGAAAGATAGAGCATGATCAAAAAGAGAGAAAAGAGATTGAAATATAAAGTATGATCAAGATAGAGAAAAGAGATTGAAAAGACAGAGTATGATCAAGAGAGAAAAGAGATTGAAATATAGAGCATGATCAAAAAAAAGAAAAAGACATTGAAATATAGAGCATGATCAAGAGAGAGAAAAGAGATTGAAATATAGAGCATGATCAAAAGAGAGAAAAGAGAAAATATAGAGCATGATCAAAAAGAGAGAAAAGAGAGGAAATATAGAGCATGAAAAAGAGAGAGAAAGAGATTGAAGTATAGAAAGGATCAAGAGAGAAAAAAGGAGAGAAAATATAGAGGCAACAAGAGAGAAAAGAGATTGAAATATAGAGCATGATCAAGAGAGAGAAAAAGAGATTGAAATATAGAGCAAGGATCAAGAGAGAGAAAAAGATTGGAAAGAAAGAGCATGATTAAACAGAGAGAAAGAGAGAAAAGAATTATAGAGCATGATCAAAAGAGAGAAAAAGAGATTGAAATATAAGGCATGATCAAGAGAGAGAAAAAGAGATTGAAATATAACAGCATGAAAGAGAGAGAAAAGAGATTGAAACATAGAGCAAGGATCAAAAGAGAGAAAAAGAGATTGAAATATAGAGTATGATCAAGAGAGAAAAAAGACAGAATATAGAGTATGATCAAAAGAGAGAAAAAGAGATTGAATATAGAGTGGAATAAAGAGAGAGAAAAGACGATTTTAATAGCGCGAGTTTTCCCTTTAGAGAAAAGCGCGCGTTTGACACTTTTTCAGCATGGTTTCTAAGAGAGAAAATTGAGTTCACCAACCAAGAGACCTGTTATGCAAGAGAGAAAAAAATCTTCCGCGAAAATTTGGACGCAACGATAAACCTGTTGTTTCAAAAAGAAGTTGTGTTCCAGACTGGATCAAGGCACACCCAAGATCCATGTCAATATTTGAGGTTGATCAAAAAGAAATAAAATGAGACAGTAAATAATTTTTTTCTCGTCCCTTTTGGTTCGGTCATTCATAATCATTTTCCGAGACGATGCAAATACCAAAAATAATTAATTGTTCCTTTTGGCTGGTATTCAAGAACCTTTCCGAGACGATGAAATACCAGATACTTTTTTTTCCTCGTCAAAGACAGTCGTCATTCGGAATTTTTTCTACAAGACTAAGAGAGAAAACCAGATAATTAATTCCTCGAGGCTCAAAAGAGATGAAAAGAGATCTGAAAACATCCAGAATATTAGCCCTCGGCCCTTTTGAGAGAGAAGAGAAAGTCCTACCTGAGACGATGGAGAAATAGAAAAAACAACTGTCGTCCAAAGAGAGTCTCAAGAAATTGTTTTGAAAAAGTACAAAAAAGAATGAAAAAAAATATGAGAAATAACAATAACATTCACTCACATTACCTAAAAAACTGAAAGTGAGATCATTTTCCCTTAAGAGATTATCATGTAGATTGAAATTTGGTATCCCCATCTACGAAAAAATACGCGCGTTGAAACCCCTTTCTTTTTCAGTCATTCTTTTGAGCGCGGAAATATATTTTATCGTTCCCCTCACTAACCATAAATTTCTTTTGTTTTCCCGCATTTACCAAAAATTACCTTTGCTGCAACCTAGATTTTTTCTAGGTGTCCTGGCAAGGCTATCTTGTTAATAAACTAGCAAACTGTTGGATTAAAAGAGTTGTGTTCCAGACCGCACGACGTGATACTTTTTAATATGTCCAACATATTTCAGTCTGATCACAAGGCTACTTTAAAACATAAAGAGAGAGAAAAGCCTGCCATTCAAATATAGAGATGATGCAAAAGAAAGAAAAGTTCCTTTTGATTGAAGAACCCTTTCAGATGATGCAAGAGAGATAAAAGAGATCCTGAAAATATAGAGCATGAATTTCAAGAGAGACAGAACACCAGATAATTAATTCCTAGAGCATGATTCAAAAGAGAGATGATGCAAAGATCCAAATAGGCCCTTTGAGACTAGGACATTCAAACCAGAAAAGATGCAGAAATATAGAAATGACAAAAAAGAGAGAAAAAGAGATGAACCAGCAGAAAAAAATGAAAAAATAAGAGACAAAATAATATTCAGCATGAAAAACCCGAGAGAGAATAAACGAGATTGAAATTCAAATAAATTTCCTGCCTTTAGCCATCTTGATGGCGGAAGAGAGAGAAAAGTTTTCCCGCACGAAATTGAAATATAGAGCATGATCAAAGAGAGAAAAAAGATTGAAATATAGAGCATGAGAGAAGAGATTGAAGTCGACCACGCCTGCCAGATCGAAAATGAAGCGACTTACCATGTGTTAAAAAAAAAAGAGGACCGCAAGCCGTTCCAGACGACGGTCGCGGGAAACAAAAAGCCAGCGAGTGAAAGCGAGCATGATCCCGTCGACTAGAAAAAGTCGGAACATATATGCCTCTTCAGGACGGAGAGAAAAAGGGATGACAAATGAGATAAAAGGAGATTGAAATATACAGCATGGTCAAGAGAGAACAAAGAGAGTGAAATATAAGCCTGATCACAAAAGAGAGAAAAAAATTTAAATATTCAGAAGGAAATAGAGAGAAAAGACGAAAATGGTTGATCAAGAGAGAGAAAAAGAGATTGAAATATACAGCATGATCAAGAGAGAGAAAAGAGATTGAAAATAGAGCATGATCAAGAGAGAGAAAAGAGATTGGAAATATAGAGCATGATCAAGAGAGAGAAAAGAGATTGAAAAATAGAGCATGATCAAAAGAGAGAAAAGAGATTGAAATATACAGCATGATAAAAAGAGAGAAAAGAGATTGAAATATAGAGCATGATCAAAAGAGAGAAAAAGAGATTGAAATATACAGTATGACTCAAAGAGAGAAAAAAGAGATTGAAATATAGAGTACGAGATCAAGAGAGGAGAAAAAGAGATTGAAAAAGGATTAAATATAGACATGACCAAGAGAGAGAAAAGAGATTGAAATGTAGAGCATGACAAGAGAGAGAAAAGAGATTTTAAATAAAGAGCATGATCAAAAGAGAGAAAAGAGATTGTAACATACAGCATGATCAAAAAGAGAGAAAAGAGATTGAAAACATAGAGTATGATCAAGAGAGAGAAAGAGATTGAAATATACAGCATGATCAAAAAAGAGAAAAGAGATTGAAATATAGAGCATGATCAAAAGAGAGAAAAGAGATTGAAATAGCATGATACAGAGAATGATGAAGAGAGAGAAAAGAGATTGAAAATATAGAGCATGATCAAGAGAGAAAAGAGATTGAAATATAGAGCATGATATAGATTGGATAATATAGAGAGAGAAAAAGAGATTGAAAATATAGAGCATGATCAAGAGAGAGAAAAGAGATTGGAAATATAGAGCATGATCAAGAGAAAAAGAGAGATTGAAATATAGAGCATGATCAAGAGAGAAAAAGAGATTGAAATATAGAGATGATCAAGAGAGAGAGAAAAAGGTTGAAATAGAGAGCATGAAGAAGAGAGAAAAAGAGATTGAAACATAGAGCATGATCAAAAGAGAGAAAAGGAGAGATTGAAATATAGAGCATGATCAAGAGAGAAAAAGAGATTGAAATATAGAGCATGATCAAAAGAGAGAAAAAGAGATTGAAATATAGAATATGATCAAGAGAGAGAGAAAAAGAGATTGAAATATAGAGCATGATCAAAAGAGAGAAAAAGAGATTGAAATATAGAGCATGATCAAGAGAGAGAAAAGAGAAAAAATATAGAGTAAGGATCAGAGAGAAAAGAGATTGAAATATAGAGCATGATCAAAAGAGAGAGAAAAGAGATTGAAATATAGAGCATGATCCAAGAGAGGAAAAGTGATTGAAATATACAGCATGATCAAGAGAAAAGAGATTGAAATATAGAGCATGATCGAGAGAGAGGAAAAGAGATTGAAATATAGAGCATGATCAAAGAGAGAAAGAGATTGAAATATGAGAGCATGATCGAGAGAGAAAAGAAGATTGAAATATAGGAGCATGATCAAAAGAGAGAAAAAGAGATTGAAATATACAGCATGATCAAAAGAGAAAGAGATTGAAATATGAAACATGATCAAAAGAGAGAGAAAAGAGATTGAAATATAGAGCATGATCAAGAAAAGAATTGAATATAGGCATGATCAAGGAAAAGAGATTGAAATATGAAACATGATCAAAGAGAAAAAGAAGTTGAAATAGAGCAGCATGAGCCAAAGAGAGAAAAGAGATTGAAATATAGAGCATGATCCAAGAGAAAAAGAGATTGAAATATAGGCATGATCAAAGAAAAAGATTGAAATATAGAGTATGATCAAAGAGAAAAGAGATTGAAATATAGAGCATGATCAAAAGAGAGAAAAAAGATTGAAATATAGAGCACTTGATCCAAGAGAGAGAAAAAGAGATTTGAAATATAGAGCATGATCAAGAGAGAGAAAAAGTTGAAATATAGAGAGCATGAGAGAAAAGAGAGAAAAGAGAAAAGAGATTGAAATATAGAGCATGATCAAAGAGAAAAGAGATTGAAATATAGAGCATGATCAAGAGAAAAAGAGATTGAAATATAGAGCATGATCAAAAGAAAGAAAAGAGATTGAAATATAGAGCATGATCAAGAGAGAGAAAAAGAGATTGAAATATAGAGCATGATCAAGAGAGAAAAAGAGATTGAAATATAGAGCATGAAAAGAGAGAAAAGAGATTGAGAGCATGATCATAAGAGAGAAAAAGAGATGAATATAGAGCATGAAAAAAAGAGAAAAAGAGATTGAAATATAGAGCATGATCAAAAAGAGAAAAAGATTGAAATATAGAGTATGATCAAAAAGAGAAAAGAGATTGAAATATAGAGCATGATCAAAAGAGAAAAAGAGATTGAAATATAGAGCATGATCATGAGAGAGAAAAAGAGATTTAAATATAGAGCATGATCAAGAGAGAGAAAAGAGATTGAAATATAGAGCATGATCAAGAGAGAAAAAGATTGAAATAGAGCATGATCAAAAAGAGAGAAAAAAGAGATTGAACATAGAGGCGATCAAAAGAGAGAAAAAGAGATTTGAAATATAGAGCATGATCAAGAGAGAGAAAAGAGATTGAAATGAGCAGAGCATGACCAAGAGACAAAGAGATTGAAATATAGAGCATGATCAAGAGAGAGAAAAGAGATTGAAATATAGAGCATGATCAAGAGAGAGAAAAGAGATTGAAATATAGAGCATGATCAAGAGAGAAAAGAGATTGAAATATAGAGCATGATCAAGAGAGAGAAAAGAGATTGAAATATGGGTAGCATGACGATCAAGAGAGAAAAAAGAGATTGAAATATAGAGCATGATCAAGAGAGAGAAAAGAGATTGAAATATAGAGCATGATCAAGAGAGAAAAGAGATTGAAATATAGAGCATGATCAAAAGAGAGAAAGAGATTGAAATATAGAGCATGATCAAAGAAAAAGTTGAAATATAAGAGCATGATCAGAGAGAAAAGATTGAAATAGAGCATGATCAAAAGAGACAAAAAAGTTGAAATATAGAGCATGATCAGAGAGAAAAAAGAGATTGAAATATAGAGAGCATGATCAAGAGAGAAAAAAGATTGAAAATATACAGCATGATCAAGAGAAAAAAGAGATTGAAATATAGAGCATGATCAAGAGAAATAAATTGAAATATACAGCATAGTCAAAGGAAAAGAGAAAAAAATATGAAACGAAAAATATGAGATTGAAATAGGCATGATCAAGAGAGAAAAGATGAAATATAGAAAAAAAGATTGAAATATAGAGCATGATCAAAGAGAGAAAAAAGAGTTAAGAAATATACAGCATGATCAAAAGAAAAAGATTGAAATATAGAGCATGATCAAGAGAGAAAAAAAGAGATTGAAATATACAACATGATCAAAGAGAAAAAGTTGAAATATAATGATCAAGAGAGAAAAAGAGATTGAAATATACAGCATAATCAAGAGAAAAAAGATTGAAATATGAGCATGATCAAAAGAGAAAAGAGATTGAAATATAGAGCATGATCAAAAGAAAAAATTGATTTATGCAAGATATAGAGCATGATCAGATGATCAGAAGAGAAAAAGAGATTGAAATATAAACATGATCAAAAGAGAAAAAGAGATTGAAATATAGAGCATGATCAAAAGGAAAAAGATTAAAATATAGAGCATGATCAAAAGAGAAAAAAAAGGGATTGAAATATAGAGCATGATCAAGAGAGAAAAAGGAATTGAAATATACATGATCAAGAGAGAAAAAGAATTGAAATAGAGATGAAAAAAAAAGAGATTGAAATATACAGCATGATCAAAAGAGAAAAAAAGAGATTGAAATATGATGCATGATCAAGAGAAAAAGTTTAAATATACAGCATGATCAAGAGAAAAAAAATTGAAATATAGAATGATCAAGAAAAGCATTGAAATAAAGAGATCAAAAGAAAAAAGAATTGAAATATGAGCATGATCAAAAGAGAAAAAGGAATTGAAATATAGGCATGATCAAGAAGAAAAAAATTGAAATATAAGGCATGATCAAGAGACAAAAAGAAAATAGAGCATGATCAAATATAGAGCATGATCAAATAGAAAATCAAAGGGAAAAATTGAAATATAGAGCATGATCAAAGAGAAAAAAGAATTGAAATATAGAGCATGATCAAGAAAGAGAGATTGAAATAGAGATTCAAGAAATAAAGAAGTACAGCATGATCAAGAGAGAGAAAAAAGAGATTGAAATATGAAGCATGATCAAAAGAGAGAAAAAGATTGAAATATGAAGCATGATCAGAGGAGAGAAAAAAGGAATTGAAATATAGAGCATGATCAAGAAAAAAAGAGGTTGAAATATAAGAGCATGATCCGAGAGAAGAGATTGAAAAAAGCATGATCAAGAGAAAAAAAGATTACAGCATGATCAAGGAAGAGAAAAAGAAAAAGAAATAAGAGATGAGCATGATCCAAGAGAGAAAAAAGATTGAAATATAAGCATGATCAAAAGAAAAAAGATTGAAATATAGAACAAAGATCAAAAGAGAAAAAAAATTGAAATATACAGCATGATCAAGAGAAAAAAGAATTGAAATATAAGAGCATGATCAAAAAAAAGAGAAAATGAGCAGATCAAAGAGGAAAAGAGATGAAATATAGAGCATGATCAAAAGAGAAAAAGGATTGAAATATAGAGCATGATCAAAGAGAGAAAAAGAGATTGAAAATATAGGCATGATCAAAAGAAAAAAGATTGAAATAGAGCATGATCAAAAAGAAAAAAAGATTGAAATATAGAGCATGATCAAGAGAAAAAAAAGATTGAAATATAGAGCATGATCAAAAGAGAGAAAAAGGAATTGAAATATAGAGTATGATCAAAGTGAAAAAAGGAATTGAAATATGAAACTGAAGGATCAAAAAAGAGATTGAAAAAGGTATGATTGAAATATAAATAGCATGATCAAAGAAAAGAATTGAAAAATAGGAGTATTCAAGAAATTGAAATAGAGCATGATCAAATGAGAAAAAGAAATTGAAATATACAGCATAGATCAAGAGAGAAAGAAAATACTAGAGATTGAAAAAATAGATTGTATATCCAAATGATCAAAAGAGAAAAAAGATTGAAATAGAGCATATGATCAAGAGGAGTGAAAAAAGTTGAATATAGAGCATGATCATGATCAAAAAAGATTGAAATATAGAGTATGATCAAGAGAAAAAGAGGTGATAGAGGCATGATCAAAAAGAAAAAAAGATTGAAATATAGAGCATGATCAAAGAGAAAAAGTGATTGAAATATAGAGCATGATCAGAAAAAGAAAAAAAGAGATTGAAATATACAGCATGATCAAGAGAAAAAAGATTGAGGAAATATAAGAGCATGATCAAAAGAGAAAAAGATTGAAATATACAGCATGATCAAAAAAGAGAAAAAAGAGATCAAAGAGAAAAAAAAGATTGAAATATACAGCATGATCAAGAGAAAAAAAGAGATTGAAATATAGAGCATGATCAAGAGATGAAAAAGAAGATTGAAATATAGAGCATGATCAAGAGAAAAGAGATTGAAATATGAGATGATCTAAAAAGAGAAAAAAGATTGAAATATGAGAGCATGAT